TAGACACGGTGGCGCAGCCGATTCGATGGGAAACGGACACGCAGCAAGCTTGGGTGGCGAGGGTTACAGGGGCTGCCATGGGAGAGGAGGTGGGTGGGAGCCACCACCAGGATGAGGTGCAGGGGCAGTGCTAGGGCTGCTGGCATAGGGGGGTGGTTATGGGGCGATGGGGAGAAGGATGATAGGCTGCTGGGGACTAGAGCAGCTCAGGTACACTGGCCCCGTGGAGGTCTTCCCCCCCCTTTCTCTCTCCTCCTTTGTGGAAGGCACTGCCCGAGCAAATGGCTGCCTGCCAGGACAGGGCCACCGGCCCACACTGCAACCATTTTGGGACCAGTGAACCCCTTGCCCCTGCTCACAGCCCTGCCCTGCTCCTGCACCCACAGGGGCACGGCGCAGGGAAGGCGGTGATGGGGCCGCAGGGGCCAAGTACAGCTGGACCCCCTGCAAAGGGGGACCCAGGCACCCCGAGGGAGCCGTGGGGAGGGCTGGCCCGCATGTTTCTGGCAGGGCTGGGCCGGTGTGTCATCCCCAGGGGCGGGGAAGAGCAAGGTTTTAAACGTGCTCTGGTCCCAGGCAGGAAGCAGCGGCAAAGCAGCGGGACTGCGGGCACCTGCCAGGCGAGCCCGTCCTGCGACCACCGTGGGCAGGTAGGAGAGGTCTGGTGGAGACGGGCCTGGCTGGACGTCGCAGGGCTGTGCCGGGGGGGGCCACAGCAGACAGAGGCGATCACGCAGGTCCCAGGTATGCAAGGAATGCGGCATTGCCTGCGCCTGCCGGTCTGGCTGGGCTGCAGCCAGGTGCCGGGGTGGGACAGTGGGTGTAGGGCAACAGCCACATGGTGCTGCAGCACGCTGGGCACTGCTGGCCCTCTTGGCCGAGCACAGCAGGAGGATGTTGGTCCCTGATCCCGGCATGCCCCGGCAGCGGGACAGGAGGTAATGACTGCCCAGGCAGGGTGGCTCCCAGGGAAAAGCCTGTGCTGCCTCAGGGCTCCAGCGGGCACAGCAGGGCTTGGAATGCCCCAGGAGCAGGACAGGGAGCGATGACCATGTGGCTGGGATGGCTCCCAGGGAAAAGCCTGTGCTGCCTTGGAGCTCTGACGGGCACAGCAGGGCTTGGCAGGGCTGCAGGTGCCAAGGAAGGGGCAGGCAGTGGGGCAGGGCACGCAGGGGACTGGCAACACTATTCCACAGTACCCAGTGAGGTGGGTACATGGTGCTGTGGGATTGCCCCCCGTGGGCAGGGTGCAACCCCATCCCACAGCTGCAGCGGAGGAGCAGCCCCGCTCCAGGCACCTAACGGGTCAGATCAGCAGGCAGGAGCCTGTCTGCCACCGGCTGTCAGTGGGACCCGCGCACTGCATCTCCTGCTCCACGGCAGCTGGGCAGGCAGCACTGCCCAGGAAGGAGTGCTGGGCTGCCCCCCCAGCTGTGCTCAGAGCACGGCCCCCCCAAAGTGCCCCAGCTACCCTGCCTGTCCCTATCACCCTTCCATCACTGCCCCAGACAACTTCTCTACTGCTCTCCCTCCCCCTGAAACACCCCCAGCTTCAGCCTGTCCCACCAGAGACCACCCCGCAGACCTCCCCCTGCCCCGCGAGCCTCCCACCCACAGCCCCAGCCCCTTCCCGAGGCTCTGCTGCCCTTCCCCGGCAGACATCTCCTCCACCACCCTCTCCCTGAGACTACACCCCCATTCCACCAGTAAAACCTGTCCCTTCTCCCAGTCCCCCGCAACGGTCCCCAGCAGCCTCTCCCTCCCCAGGCACTGGCCTGTTGGTGCACCCTGCGGGTGGAGACATGCAGGGTCATCCCGCAGGACGTGGGGCAGGCGTGGCTGCAATGCTTGCCGTGCACTGGGCGTACGAGGAAGAGCTGCCCATGGTGACTCAGGGAGGCGTGTGTGGGCTCGAGGCGCCGGTGGGTGCAAAGGGTCTGTGTGTGGGAGCGTGCAGCACCGTCCAGAGCCATGGCTCACGCCAGCGCCAGCACATTCCCTGACACAGCCAGAAGTGAAAGGTGCGGAGCAGCCATTGCCGCTGCCAGGGAGAGCTGCCCGCATCAGGGAGAGACTGTGGCCCCAGGGAGGGCTGCAGGTGCCAGCACCTGAACCTCCGCCAGGAATCTCCCTGGCTTTGTAGGCAGAGTCGGTTACTAAAAGTTTCCATGGGGCTGACGCTTTCTGATTAAAGGGAGAAGAGTCCTTCCTCTGCCCACAAGCCCGCTGACTCCTCCCGTGCCCGTGAAGGGCAGGGGGCTCCACCTCAACCCCAGGGGGTTCCTGCCCCTGGCCCCCAAGTCCTGCCGGGAATTGGGGGTTCAAGCTGCCACAGTGTTATGGGTGGCAGTGCCCAAACCCCCTCTCCGCTCTGGTGCCGGTGGCCGGCTCGGGTCTGGGATGTGCAGGGATCTGCCTGGAGCTCTCTGGATACCGCAGCCCCAGCGGCGCTGCCCACCCCTGTGCTCATGGCATGGCCAGGCTGAGCCCAGCTCCTCCCAAGCGCAGCATGGCCTGCACCATCTAACCCGGAAAGTCTCTGCCAGGAAAGGGCTGCGGGGGCCGGGAGCAGCTTTCCCAGCCCTGCAAGGTGGCAGGGCCCCAGAGCCGGTGGTGAGGAGCTGCCAGCCCCGTCCTGTGTTTTGCGTGTGTGTGGCAGCAGGCACAGGGCTGCCCAGCACCAGCACGTGCGGGTGCGTGCACCCAGCATGAGCCTGCAGGATGGAGGAGACGGCCCTGCAAGGCAGGGGACCCCTTGCTCCCAGCCCACAGCCCACAACACAGGACAGAGCAACTCCCCCCCCTCCCCCCCCACCACACAAGGACACCTCCTCTC